ACCTTTAAGGTAAGACTTCTTCATTAATTTCATTAGGTTCTAATTATTTTTCTTCTTGATGACTGCCACACTCTCACAATTTCTGAGACTTATAAACATAAACTCTTTAAGAGGGAGAGTAAACGGGTGTTTTGTACAGACATTTAGTTGGAGAACAATTTATGAGAAAAAGGTCCAGGCAGGCCCGTAGCCAGGATTTCGATTTGGGGAGGGGGGGAGTTTGTTTCGCGGGGGGGGGGGCTGAGTCTGAGTGAAAGAGGATCTACCCTACCAAACCTTTTGTATCGTTACCCCAATACCCCCATGCATATGGGATATATTGAGCATGGTGATCAGATCATGATATGAATAAACATAACAGTTTAAATAATGCACCAGTAAGGCCTTTTCGCGAACCACCATGAGAATTTCGGGGGGGGGGACTTGAGGGGCTTCATGCCAGGGGCCAGGGTGCTATACTACCACATACACAGGACAAAAAAAAACATGGATCATGGATTGTCCTGCAACATTTATATTATGATTGTTTCCCTGAATGATGATGTAAAAAGCTATCCCAACATCATGTGCAAACTGGCCTGCTTGGTGGAAAAGAAAGCTGAGAGCTTGACACCTCACTACTAAACTTTGACTCATGAAAGATCATGAGGGATTTTAGGACACAGCAGACTAAACTGTGCTAGATGTGTCAAAGAGGTGGGATGTATCTGGAGATGACTGAGGCTACCAAATTGAGAAGGCAAATACTGGGAAGAACCCAGAACTATGGAGTTACACAACTGATTCCAGGCCTTTCCCTTGGGCAGTGATTATGTGCCATGGATACAGCAGGCACAAGCTTCAGAGAGCATGCCCATGACAAGTTTTGTAGATGAAAGATTTTTTTTATCCATTTCCCAGAAAAAGAAGAGAAACATAACTTTTGTAGTGTCTCTCTACTGAAGAGAGAGAAGCAGTAATGTCTGAATCTGACAGCATGCTTTGAGCTGTTTCTTCTTCCTGAAGCAAGGAGCCAAAAATGGGTTGCACTTAATAGCACTTGATAAGAACATGTTTACTAGGAATTTCACAAAGTTCTGAATTTTCACCTGCACAGCAGGTTCACTTTCCAGTCTTACATTTTAACAAGGTTTGTGGTCATATGAGGTGGTCCAGTGGTCAGAGAGCTGCCTTATCATATTGCCCTTGGTAAGTTGCACCTTTTGAGGCCCAGTTTCTGGGGATTTCAAGTCTTGGGGTGGCTCCAGTCAGGGGATGACTTTTGTTTTTCTGAGCCTCCGATAAAAGAGTTCTAAGGAGAAGAAAAAATCTGTTTGCATGAGAAATGATTCACTCATTATACATCCCTAGCATATAGTAAATGAGTAATATCCAGAATGTATACTGAGTCGCTGACCGTTTTGATACAACAGATTTGAATATTTTTGTATACTCTGATTGTATGACTTAGCTAGGAGCATCTGCCTTCTATTTTAATTGCTCTTGATCTCCAGGTCAAATCTAACCTGGCACGATCTAATAAAAGAAATCAGATTGCCTCTGAGATTTCTGCATTTTTTCTTAGAAGATGGAATGAATTCTTTATAAATATTACACTTATTATTTCATTGGAGGTATAATGTCCAGCATATATGCTTTTTCATGCCAGCTGTTAATGTGACTCCTTTGTAACATCTTGGAAGTGCCTTTTTTTCTTGAACTGTGGAGTAGTATTCTTAACTGCTGAGTTTCTTTCTCTGCTCTGTTCCAGGTCAACGTGGACTCCTAAGGGAGATTACATTGCCTCCAACACAGATGAGTGCACTGCCACTCTGATGTATGCAGTTAATCTCAAGCAATCTGGCACCGTCTCCTTTGAGTACATCTACTCAGACAGCAGCATCGTCTTTGAGTTCTTTGTATGTTTCTCACAACTTGTCTTGCTTTGTATTACTGTATGCTGTTCAAGATGTACTATCTTACAAAAACGATCACTTCTGCATACAAGAGGCTATCTTAGTCTGTGTGATGGGAGTGGTATGTTAGAAAAAAAATAAAATTCACTTTCAGAGCTGAGGAGAAGGATTTCTGAAATTTAAAACTGATACCCTGAAAGGCAATAGATATTCATGTTTACAGTTAGCTGTCTATATTTGCAGGCTTAATTTTTACAAATTTGATTATATTCACAGATTTGAATATGTTCATTCTAAAAATCTCTATGCCCCCCAGCTTCTTGTGAAAGTTATGGTCAGGTTAACTGAACAAATAATAATAATAATAATAATAATAATAATAATAATAATAATAATGACTCTGGCACCAATAAAGGTGGTCCCAGTGGTGATTGACACACTGGGTGCAGTGCCTAAAGACCTTGGCCTGCATTTAAACACAATTGGTGCTGACAAAATTGTTCGCTGTGTAATTATAGTAATAACAATTAACTTTATTTATATTCTGCCCCCTCTTCAAGCAGGACTCGGGGTGGCTTACAAAATATAAGTCACAGTACAAAAACCAAAACAAAAAAAATAGAATAAATACATAAACAACAATAACAAAAACAAAGCAAACTAAGAACTAAAAATAACAATATCCTGATAAAATATCCTGCTTATATTGTACACCAGGGCAAAAACCAGTTCCAAATAATTCACCATCATGATAAGTTATAATTAATAATTTCCGAATGCCTGCTTCCACATCCATGTTTTCAGTTCTTTCCTAAAGTGGCTAGAGAGGGGGGCCTGTCATGTTGAAAGACCTAGAGATTTTAAGAGAGAATGCTTCTCTAAGCTTTTGTAAGATCTCCAGATTAATTATGTGGTCAACATCCAGCCGAAATTGACCATAGAGCCCTACTGGAGGACCTGAATATTTCTAGAGAGATGTTCTCTCAGGTTAAAAAAATCATTTTATTTTTCCCACTTTTGTGACGAATGCCCCTAATCACAGCAAATTGAGAGGGTCAGCTGTACTTTCATGACACACAGTAGCTTCTTTATCCGGCTGCTGTGCCATTCTTTCTAGTATAGTTCTTTGTCAATTAATTTTGTTAGGAATACCTTTTTGCATTCCTCCTTAATATATAATGGTCATTTCTTTACATTTCAAAGGTAATGTTTGTTTTTTAAAACCCATAATTTTTGGCAGCTTTTGCTCGCTTATTCACTATAATAACAAAAGACTTCATAAAATAGAATCATAGAGTTGGAAGAGACTATATGAGCCATCCAATCCAACCCCTGCCAGGCAGGAAAAGCACAATCAAGGCATTCCTGACAGACAACATTTGCAACCTGAATTTGGTTGACAGAGCTCATACAACATTACTGTCTTTAAAGTGCTTTGTAGTTGACTTAACAATTTTGAAGTATTTTGTGATTATTTTGTTAACAGGTGTTTCTATTACTGTATTTTACTTGGTTTTAAGGAAGTAGTGAGCTAGCGCATTAAATGGACATAAAATTATTCAAAGTATTTGTTACAATTCAAATAAGATGCTCTAATTTAGCTCTGTGAAACTGACTAGAACATTTGTCTTAGAATTCACTTTGTAGGAGCCCAAAGAAACTTACCACATTTTATCCTTCATGTGTTTTATTATTTCATTATATGAAGGCATTATTTCTGCATTATTAAATCTCTCTCATACAAAGGGTTTTTTCTTCCACCTGCAGAAGGACACAGCAATTAACCTTTTGGTTGATATTTTAAGTAAATCCAGTCAATTTATTTTCCTTATTTTAGATTTTCCTTTGTTGCAGATTCAGAATGATCAGTGCCAGCCCACAGTAGAGGAATCACGATGGATGACGACCACAGAGAAAGGGTGGGAGGTCCACAGTGTAAGTGGAGAAATTAATTCATAGTGTAAGATGGCCATGATACTTGTAATAATAATCCTGGTTTTTGTGGACCTATGGTTGTTAATGCTTTGTGGAAAATCTGTGCATTCTTTTAAACAGTCTCAAAATCTCAAAGGGAACACCATTTCAATATAAGCCTGTATTTTAACTTTGAGTTTAATATATACAGGTAAAGCTGAATCGTGGCAATAACGCCTTATATTGGAGAACAACAGCCTTCTCTGTGTGGTCCAAAACTCCCAAACCTGTGTTGGTGAGGAACATTGCAATTACAGGTTGGTTTTTTTTTTTTTGGCACATGTAGTGTAGCTGTTCACCACAGTGCCTGTTGCCTCTGCAGTATTGTTAGGGGGCAAAATATTCTGCAGTCCAGTTTATCTTTTCAAACCATCCTCCCCCTACCCCTCCACACACACACTTTCTTCTTGTCTTCCTTAGGAGTAGCGTATACTTCAGAATGCTTTCCTTGTAAGGCAGGCTCCTACACATCCAAATCAGGTTCCTCATCCTGCCGACAGTGTCCAGCAAACTCCTTCTCCAGCAAGGGAGCAACTGCCTGCCAGCAATGTGAACCAGCAATGTATTCAGGTAGCATTTTAGACGTTTTTGCTGATTATCTAAAAACTATAAAAAGAGATTGATTCCCCAACTTTAATAAGTAAAGTGTCCCACATCCCCAGCTGATTGCAAATTCGACAACTTCATTTCACAGTGCTGTTGTTCAAGTTTACTTTAAACCCAATTTCTTCTGTTCTCTGTCAAAAAGTCACATTTTAATCAGCAAAGAGTATGAGCATTTTCAGAAACCTTACATGTGCATTATAGTACCCTGGAAATTTAGGGAGAGCCCTCATCTTTTATTTTCCCTTTTCCTTGGCAACCTGGAAAAGTTTAGAGACGTGGGTAACAGAAGATGAAACCTGGCATACATGGTTATTAATAATGGCAGAGAAACCTATCCAGACTTAGATCTTCCAAGGTGGAGATTTTCCCTAAGAACTCTCCAAAAGCTCTGGGTAACAGCCAGCCAATTCTATCAAAAAGATTTTGTAATTGTATGTACATACGTTGGAATTTTTAAATTTTCAAATTTGAAAAAAAAATCCACAGATTTAAAAACTCTGGTGCCATTTTATCCTAAATTGGGGAAGTTATAGTAGGAAAATGTGTTCTTTGATACAATTTGCTAGACTACTAGAAAGCACTGGGGAGATGAATAGTGAACTACTTGCTGCTGAGTACTCCCTTCTCAACTTGGGGAGAAGGGCACTCCATTTAAGAGAAACATGCTAAAGACTGGTAATTGCCTGCTCCTATTACAGAAGCTAATTATACAAAAACTTAGACTTTGTTCCTATCAGAATCTAGTGCCTTAAGCAAATACAACACACATTATTTGTAGAACCCAACAGTTTCTAGAAGAGCAAATATTGGCACTGGAAAAAAGGGTTGTGTGTGCAAGCATATATATGTGCATACACATATGTTTAAAACAGCTTTCTACTTAGTTGTTTCTGTGTTTTTTTCATTCTATGTGACTATAACCATTGTTTCTTTCTACGCTAAAGAACCAGGTTCTTCATTATGCAAGCCACGCCCAGCCTGTACAGATAAGGATTATTTTTATACTCATACAGCATGTGATACAAATGGAGAGGTATGCATATTTTTTAATTTATTCTCATTACAATGGTTACATGTTAACAGTAGGATTTCCCTAGATTCTCATTTAGGTTCTTGAAGTGTAATACCTTTGTACCTTCTTAGAAGCATTCTTCATGCCTATAGCACCACCATGTGGTGATCTATTTTCAAAATTAAAGTGTACCCCTTTCCTGTTATCTCAGGGTGGTTCTCAGAAGAGGATTTTGCAGAAGAGTTGTTATGCTCAGCTCTCTTTTTCTTTAAAGTGGGAAGAAGGGGAGAACATGGCACAGCCACTTTCCTCTAGCTGTATTTTCATGTAGTATTTCCCTCTTTTCTTACTACTGAAAGAAAGAGCAGAAGAGCAGTTCATAATCGTTAAGACTACGGGCACAAAAGTATTTTAACACCAGAAAAATGGCTAATCACATATTTTTACAAAGGACAAACCAGTCATCATCATTTTACTCTTCTTTTCATGATTGCAACCAAAAACACATGGCATGCAATGCCTCTTTGCTTCCTGTAAGAGCACCGTCTTGCCTTTTAATAATCAATGTTTGCAGATGGTTGGCTTGTTCTTTAAATTGAATGCATTTTGTTGTCAAAAGCCAGGCTGCTTCAGGTTTTTTTGGCAAACAATGGCATTAATTCATTCATTGCTTTATGAATTTGGCTGTTTTTAGAATTAGTAATCTATAATACCCAACAGGTGAATCAGGTACTGAAATACAGGATTTAACTATGGCCTTTGATAGACATTTTTAAATGTGTAACCTGATTGTAACTTGAAAGAAACAGGATAATTTTAATGACATCAGGGACTGCTAGTTCTTAGAACTCTCTAGAAGGAATGAATTGCCTCCAAACACCAGTAATAGCAAGGATGCAAATACTTCCTCTTTCACCTGTGGAGATGAAAAGCAGTAAGAAATTGTGTTGCTGAGAGGGGAATTTTTTCTCCCAATCAAGCAGCCCACTTGCAGTTTTCAAGGTCAACTAAGATGGGAGGGAAGAGAGACAAGAGAGCACATTTCTTCTGAACCTCTTCACCCTGCTGTGTCTCACATCTTTTGGACTGAGTGCAGCAGGAAGCTGTTGTGTAGTCTAATATGCAACTGCTTTGAACTGTCCCCTTCTCCCTGCAGTGCTCATTTTGCACCAATGAAGTGAGAGAGAAAGCAAACTCAAAAGTCAAGCTCCCCAATCCTTGTTTATAAAGAGGGATTTAAAAATGTTAACAGATTAAACCACTTGACCAAGAAACTGCAATTACATTAAGCAACAGAGGTGGAGAGGAAGGAGCAGATTGATTCTATTCCTGACTTCTGACTGTTGTCCCATCAACTGACATGGGTGACACTGAATTTTTTTTTCTCTTCCTGGAATATTCTCACAATGCTTTTTCATGTATGAAGAAGAGTGGCACAAGATTAGTTTAGAATATAAGCACCTCAACCTTGGGATGGATAATAGAAGGTTTTTCCTACTATAATAGATCATTATCCATTCTATCTCAATATTCTTTACCTATAATGTTAGTAGCTCATCGTGGTTTAAGACAAATGAACTTGGAGAAGGCAGGGGCTGGATTTAGAATCTACCTGCATGCAAAAAAGATGTCCTCCCACTGTATGCCCCTTGTTTTCCCTCACCATATCAAGAGACAGTTCCCCAAAATTCTCAACTTCACCATTGCCATCTTCAGTCACATGATCTCTGTGGTGATGTTCTTCAGATCTTCAATAAGGCTACCCCAGTGTCAACAGAAACATGTAGCATAGTCCAGCATCTGAAATGAATGATGCTGTTGTGCTAAGGAGTGACAGGGTCTAGACATAACACATTCAAAGCAACACTCCCACCTCTAATTTGTTCATTTTTTAAATGAGGTGATAGTGGAAGATCAATATTAACATGAGTCCTCTTGCCGTGATGAGGAACAGACTGCATTAATTACTCATTATGCTTACCTTCATTTAAACTGAGGGTGAGAGTTCTGCATAGTTAACTGCTGACAAATTGGCCTGCGCAGCACCCATTCCAATGCTGAAATTATGTTACTTAAGAAGCCACAGTATAGCAACTATGATAAATGTTACTGGGAGACACCCAAACTCCCTGTGGCATGTAGAAGCAGCTCACATTGCTGAGTACAGTGACCTGAATTTCAGTATCAGAACTTGGAAGCAGCAGCACATGGAGCCTCGTGCTGCTCTGAGAGACATGGAAACCCTTGTCCAACAGTTAGAAAGACAAAAAAAAACAAACCCTACCATGTATCACTTATATAAATATAAGTGGTAATGATAAATTAAAAGGCGAGCTACCCTTTTCAAAAGCACTGATGCTGGCATTTCCTAGGCTGAGTATAGTAGTGAGCAACATAATGAATTACTTTATAAAAGCAGCAGTTCAAACCGTTTCAGAAACTACTACCATGCACAATTCCAAAACAGGTATGGAAATCCTGTGACTTTCCAACTGTTGCTGAAATTATTGTTGCTGTTTCTTTATTATACAAGGCTCTAGAATCCCAAATAATTAGTTTCCCTAAAGGTAATGATGTATTGGGTTAAAATCCTGCTTCAACTTAAATTGTTCTAACTCAAGGGAAGGCAAAACATACCATCAATAAAGAGTCTGTGTGCACATGAGAATGTGAATTAAAGAAATAAGCATACATTTTCAAGGGAAAATAAACATTATAAACAAAGAAACTTCTAGGGGAAAAATCTGAGGTAATGATAAAGGCATAAAAGTATTATTTATTTATTTATTTACTTTGCTTGTATACCGCAGTTTCTCAGTCTAACAGGCGACTCAATGCGGTTTACAACAAGGGTAAAACAATACACAATATACAATTTAAAATCATCAGAGCGTGATACACAATATTAACACTACAATAACAATCCAATGCATCTCATGACTAAAGTCGTGATCCAGTTTCGTCGTCCATATTACCATTCCTGTAATCGTCACCTTCATTGCAGTGATTAACCAAATGCCTGTTCGAACATCCAGGTTTTTAATCTTCTTCGGAACACCATCAGCGAGGGGGCTGATCTTACCTCCATGGGAAGGGCGTTCCACAGTCGAGGGGCCACCACAGAAAAGGCCCTGTCTCTCGTCCCCGCCAGCTGCACCTGTGAAGCAGGCGGGGTAGAGAGCAGGGCCTCCCCAGAAGATCTTAGGGTCCTGGTGGGCTGATAGGCCGAGATACGTTCGGATAGGTAGGTTGGGCCAGAACCGTTTAGGGCTTTAAAGGCCAACGCCAGCACTTTGAATTGAGCCCGGTAGCAAATCGGCAGCCAGTGGAGCTGGTGCAGCAGAGGAGTTGTATGCTCCCTGCGCTCCGCTCCTGTTAGTATCATGGCTGCCGACCGTTGGACTAATTGAAGCTTCCGAGCTTAGTTGTACTTGAATTTAGTTGTACTTGAATTTAGGCTTGTGATAAAAAAATACATGAGATAAAAGTGGGGAACCAAAACAGAAGAGTTGAACTGTGATTAAGTTGAAGAGAAAACTTGTTCTCAAATTATAAGGGGGGCACGTGGTGAAAGACTTCATATTCTGTTGCCTTCCTCAAATAAAGTAAGACAAAAAAGACGTAATGTATTCTGACAAGTAGGAAAATAACTCTAGTGGTGGTGATTAAATGCCAACAAATGTAACGCTCTTGGCTTTGTTTTGCTTCTTGCGTATGTGTATGTACATTCATCTTCAAACTGCCTGTCAACCTATGGTGACCCTATGAATTATGTTTTTCTTTAAAGAAGAAATAGTCAGAGGTGGGTTTTCTTGCTCTGAAATTCAGTCTGTGGCACATGGTATTCCTTGGCAGTCCCCCTTCCCAGTATGAATCAGACCTGACTGTTTTGAACTTCCAAGATCAGAGATAATTTGGTGCCTTCAGGGTGTTTAGGCCCTTCCATTTACGGTATCCTCTTTTCTAATTATAATAATTACACATATTACATGAACATGAAGAACTATAGGAAAACAGGAAATGAATGCAAGTACATTCTTTCTTCTTAACTAGAGGAAAATAATGGTTCAACTGCCTGTTTAAATTGGCATAGATAAAGGATTGTTCTATCTATCTATCTATCTATCGAGGGGGGGGGGGTCCTGTGGTGTAGAAAGTTCACAGAAAAGAGTTAGCTTATTGTTTAGGAAGGCGTTATTGACCCAGAAATGTTGAAGCCATGTTCTGACACAGAATGGGAGCTTCAGATTTGCAAAGGACTGTTAACTTTCTGCTCCAAAAAAAAAAAAAAAAAAACAGTTATCAGCTTAGCAAATAAGGCATTGCATTTATCATTGTCTATAAAGCACAGTAATGGAAAAGACCAGTAAAACATGTTCTGTATTTAGAAAATGCACTTATCAACCTTCCTTCCCTTGACTGCCATGGCATACTATTTTGCCAATAATTCATTATTTCATTCATTTTATTTATATCGGCAACTGTTAGCTGCTATGAGTCCCTCAATGAGGGAGAGTGATTGGGGTATAAAGCAGAATAAATAAGTAAAGTATAACCTGCCTTTCTCCCAGCATGGCACAAATGCAGCCAGTTCAAAGCCTCATTGACAATAAGGCTTTGTGCAGATTTAATTTTGGTTCTACTTCAGTTTTGAAAAGCACAAGAACTAGTCTTACGAGACTTAATTCTGCTCGGTATCCAGCCAAATCTGATATCTGATATAGGGGGATCAAGCTTTTGGCACACTAATGTGTTGCTGAAACATTTGGTATCAATAACTTTATATCACTTTGTCTTCACAGACTCAGCTAATGTACAAATGGGCTGAACCAAAGATCTGTAATGAAGATCTTCCAAAGTCTGTCAAATTGCCCCCGTCGGGCATAAAAACTGTGTGTCCGCCTTGCAACCCTGGATTTTTCAAGACAAACAACAGTTCCTGTGAGCCCTGCCCATATGGAACTTATTCGAATGGGTCTGGTAATGCTATTCCATTGTTACCTTTTCAGTCAGGCAAAATTTATTACATGAATTCTGTTCCTTAAAAATTCTGAAACTGGCAGGGATCTCTACAATCATCAGTGCAACACATTCCCTAAAAAACAGAGACTTGGGATTTGAAGCCTCCATTTTAATTGTGCCTTCTGGACTCAGAAGTGATAAAAACATGCCCAGTCCTGTTTGTGCGAGCTTTGTTCCCACTCTTTAGTTTCTTCATCATTAATTCTAATTATCTATATTTTTATCAGTGGCAGCAGAGTAATGGGACTGAACAAAGCACCAGGAAAAGGGCTGCTTGATCTGTTTTGACTAAAAAGAGGCAGCTGTGACCCTTCACATTCTTGTGGTGGGTGTGGAGCTACAACTACCATCAGTCATATCAGTATAGCCAGTATAGCATGAAATGCCTGCAAAGCTGTTGTAGCCAATTCATGATTTACACTGGTTTCTTCTCCCTACTTATCTCACTTAATAGGAGCCCCTGGTGGCACAATGGGTTAAACCCTTGTGCAAGCAGGACTGCTGACTGACAGGTTAGCAGATCAAATCCGAGGAGTGATGGTAGATGAGCTACCATCTCACCTACAGCTCCCCATGGGGAGACATGAGAGAAGCCTCCCACAAGGATGGTAAAACATCAAACATCTGGGTGTTTCCTGGGCAATGTCCTTGCAGGTGGTTAATTATCTCACTCTAGAAGAGACTTGCGGTTTCTAAAGTCACTCCTGACATTAAAAAAAACCTCACTTAATTTTAAACAAAGGTGAATGGAGCCCTCTTTTTGGTGTGAATTTCATGGGGTTGTGCAGAGAGTGCTACTGGTTTCTTTTTAGCTTGACTGCACCCAACCATTTTGGAAATTTAAAAAAGCAATATGTAATTGCTTTCTATTTTTTTATTACAACCTACAAGGTGATCTATTCTTGTGAAAGCAGGCACAGCATTGCACTTTAGAAAAAGAATATTCTTTTCCCAATGTACCTTCAATATGGTAAACTAAATAAATTTACCACATAATATTGAGTAATGAAACTCAGCTACACAGCATGAGAACTCAAGCATATTATTAGTTGAGTATCCCTTATCTGGAATTCCAAAATACTCTAAAACTCAAAGCTGTCCACATGAGGGACTGTGATAGTGACCCCTTTGCTTACTGATGGTTCAATATATACAAACTTTGTTTCATGCACAAAATTATTAAAATTATTGTGTATAAAATTGCCTTTAGGATATGATTGTAAGATGTGTATTAAACATAAATGAATTTTATCTCCACAATATCTTCTAGTTATGCAAGTATTTTGAAAAAATACAAAATACAAAACAAAATACAAAATGCTGGTCCTAAGCATTTTGGATAAGGAATTATCTAGCTGAACTGTTAAAACCATCTATGTAGCATATTTTTACTATTGTATTTCAAAAAGAATTTTGAGCATGATATATGTCAAGGGATGTTATTAGCCACTTAGCAATTGTTTTCACCCTAGGGCAGTCTTCACCAACCTGGTAAGCTCCAGATGTTTTGGCTTACCATTCCCCTTGTCTCTGCTCACTAATGATGCCGCTAGGTTTGGCTTTTGTTGTTCCAAATATTTAGAGCAGTGGTTCTCAACCTGTGGTCCCCAGGTGTTTTGGCCTACAACCCCAGAAATCCCAGCCAGTTTACCAGCTGTTAGGATTTCTGGGAGTTGAAGGCCAAAACATCTGGGGACCCACAGGTTGAGAACCACTGATTTGGAGGATAATCAGTTACGTAGAAGCTGCATTCAGGAATTGTGTTTTCCTACTGAGATTAATAATACTATTTCCTTATGTTCCCAGGTTGTGTTAACTGCCCTATCGGGACTGAGCCAGCACTAGGTTTTGAATATAAATGGTGGAACACTCTGCCATCTAACATGGAAACAACAGTCCTCAGTGGAATTAGTTTTGAATACAAGCGAATGACAGGTACCTTCGTGACATATTGTTATCCCCTGTATATGGATATACTTTCTAGTGTGCCAACTACATTCTTTGAGTCCTTTCCATGTTCTGATTATACAGCTGATTTACTCACATGCAATTAAACTGTGGGGCTGACTAGCTCCTCTTGTTGGAATCAGTTGTTAATTACCAGTGTGGTGCAATGAGTATAAAGTAGATTGGGGTAGAAAAGGATAGGTTTCCAAATCTCTACTTAAACTTGACGCCTTTCATTGTTTGGCTTTGGGCCAGTCACCATCTCTCTGTCTCAGTCTCTGAGAACCAGTGTGGTACAATGGTTTGAACATTCAGCTACGACTCTGGGTTGTAGGGTTTAAATCCCTGCTCAGCCATAGAAACCCACTGGGTGGCCTTGGGCAAATCACACACGTTCAACAGCAGAGGAAGACAAAGGTTAACCCCCTCTGATCAAATCCTACGGAGACAACTCCATAATACAATCACCATAAATCAGAAACTACTTGAAAGATACAATAATGAGAACCATCTCCCAGTCAACTTACTTCTCACTAGGTGGCTATAAAAATAAAATCGAAAACAAAATAATGAATTTCTGTATAAAGTCCTTGAAAAAAAAAGAAAGGGATATATAAGTAATCAATTTGATGAAGTTGAATATTGCAGGTAATTAAAAGTTGGCTTACATCATCTCTATAAAAAAAAGGATAAATTTTAATCAGGATGTGTTCTAGTTGGAATATAAATAAACTGATTAAGAGCCTAAGAGGTGATTTTTCTCTTATCTTCACTAGATATTTGCTGGGGAAAATTATTCTTCTGGAAGGATAACTATGGACTTTAGGCTTGCTTGGAAAGCACTGTCAATGATTATTATCTCTGAAAATATAAATTCACTTAGTACTTGGTATTAGATATTTAAGAGCAGGGCAGTTTAATTCAGCTGAAAGGATAGGAAAAGAATGTGTGTAAAAACCACCTAGTCGAAATAGAAGTGATTTTCCTTACAAGCCAGTCTGGACAGTGGTACAGGTATTAAGCTGGAACTGAATTCAGTGTCTGTCACTGTAGTCAATAGTTCTGTGTCTCCTCTTTTCAATTGTCCTAATAACTTCTAATATTACAAAACCATGTGAATTTTCCTAACCATGTTAGTACCAAAAAATGAACGTGGAAGAGGTCAAGAAACATTCATCATGGTAAAATCTTGCTGACATTCTAGATGTGTTCATATGAAACAGAGACAGAGAGCTCTAAAACAGAGACCGAGCAGCTGCCATCATTCAACCTTTATGAACTTTTGTTCTAGCGTTGATGAAATGTACATATGTTTAAGGAATTACTGTCCCCATTTTATATGATGGAATCCAGATCAGAAATATCCTCTTTTTGAAAGAACACTATATTTAGTTAGATGTTGATTGCTTCTTTCAGGATGGGAAGTGGCTGGTGATTACATCTACACAGCAGCAGGAGCTTCTGACAATGACTTCATGATTTTGACATTGTTGATTCATGGGTTCAGGTGAGTATTCACAATTTTTGATGTTGGCAAGGCTATACAGGCAAAGTGCAATAAGTACAGTAAAATATTGTATCCAGCAGTGTGTCTCTTTTCCCAAATCATAGAATCATAGAATCAAAGAGTTGGAAGAGACCTCATGGGCCATCCAGTCCAACCCCCTGCCAAGAAGCAGGAATATTGCATTCAAATCACCCCTGACAGATGGCCATCCAGCCTCTGCTTAAAAGCCTCCAAAGAAGGAGCCTCCACCACACTCCGGGGCAGAGAGTTCCACTGCTGAACGGCTCTCACAGTCAGGAAGTTCTTCCTCATGTTCAGATGGAATCTCCTCTCTTGTTTGAAGCCATTGTTCCGCATCCTAGTCTCCAGGGAAGCAGAAAACAAGCTTGCTCCGTCCTCCCTGTGGCTTCCTCTCACATATTTATACATGGCTATCATATCCCTCTCAGCCTTCTCTTCTTCAGGCTAAACATGCCCAGCTCCTTAAGCCGCTCCTCATAGGGCTTGTTCTCCAGACCTTTTATCATTTTAGTCGCTCTCCTCTGGACACATTCCAGCTTGTCAATATCTCTCTTGAATTGTGGTGCCCAGAACTGGACACAATATTCCACATGTGGTCTAACCAAAACAGAATAGAGGGGTAGCATTACTTCCCTAGATCTAGACACTATGCTCCTATTGATGCAGGCCAAAATCCCATTGGCTTTTTTTGCCGCCACATCACATTGTTGGCTCATGTTTAACTTGTTGTCCACGAGGACTCCAAGATCTTTTTCACACGTACTGCTCTCGAGCCAGGCATTTCCCCCATTCTGTATCTTTGCATTTCGTTTTTCCTGCCAAAGTGGAGTATCTTGCATTTGTCACTGTTGAACTTCATTTTGTTAGTTTTGGCCCATCTCTCTAATCTGTCAAGATCATTTTGAATCCTGCTCCTGTCCTCTGGAGTATTGGCTATCCCTCCCAATTTGGTGTCGTCTGCAAACTTGATGATCCTGCCTTCTAGACCTTCATCTAAGTCATTAATAAAGATGTTGAACAGGACCGGGCCCAGGACGGAACCCTGCGGCACTCCGCTCGTCACTTCTTTCCAGGATGAAGAGGAAGCATTGGTGAGCACCCTCTGGGTTCGTCCGTTTTACCAATTACAGATCCACCTCACTGTAGTTTTGCCTAGCCCACATTGGACTAGTTTTTTTTTCTTCCTATAATGAAAATTATTTTGATTTGAATCAAAGGTTGTGTGTGTGTATGTGGGGGGTGGGCATTCCCTGCTCCCCCACCCCCCCCTCCAGCCTAGCCCACATTGGACTAGTTTCCCCAGAAGGTCATGGGGGACCTTGTCGAAGGCCTTATTGAAATCCAGGTACGCTACATCCACGGCATTCCCCGCATCTACCCAGCTTAACTCTATCGAAAAAAGAGATCAGATTAGTCTGGCATGACTTGTTTTTGATAAATCCATGTTGACTATTAGCGATGACTGCATTTGTTTCTAAGTGTTTGCAGACCACTTCCTTAACAATCTTTTCCAGAATCTTGCCCGGTATCGACGTGAGGCTGACCGGACGGTAGTTGTTTGGATCATCCTTTTTTCCCTTCTTGAAGATTGGGACCACATTGGCCCTCCTCCAATCTGCTGGAACTTCTCCCGTTCTCCAAGAACTCTCAAAGATGGTTGCCAATGGTTCCGAAATGACTTCCGCTAGTTCCTTCAATACTCTTGGGTGTAGTTGATCTGGCCCTGGGGACTTGAACTCATTGAGAGCGGCCAGGTATTCCTGGACGAGACTTGTTTCCCAATTTGGAGTTGGATGTCCTCAAATCCCTCATCCACTCCGTCTTGCTGAGGTTGAAGATGACTTTCTTTTTGTGAGAAGACCGAGGCAAAGAAGGTATTTAGTAGTTCTGCCTTTTCCCTATCCCCTGTCAGCATTGACCCATCTTCTCCTCGAAGAGGCCCTATCGCCTCCTTGTTTTTCCTTTTTCTACTGACATAAGAAAAGAATCCCTTTTATTGTTTTTAATGTCCCTGGCAAGCCTGAGCTCGTTTTGTGCTTTAGCCTTGCGGACCTTTTCCCTACAGTTGTTGGCTATTTGTTTGAATTCTTCTTTGGTGATTTCTCCCTTTTTCCAGTTCTTGTGCATGTCTCTTTTGTGTCTCAGCACAGTTAGAAGTTCTTTGGACATCCATTCTGGCTTCTTTGCACTTGCCCTATTTTTTCTTTTTGTTGGCACGGTTTGCAACTGCGCCTTGAGTATTTCACTCTTGAGAAACTCCCATCCATCCGTAACTCCCTTGTCTTTTAGTATCTGTGTCCACGGAATGCTGCTCAGTGTTTCCTTCATTTTTGGAAATCAGCTCTCCTAAAGTCCAAAGAGAGTGTTGTGCCTACAATACTTCCACAGTCCTTAATCTATTATTCTCAGTGATGCATAGCCACTGAAAGAGTAGATAAGGAATTAAATTCTTCTTTTGTGTAACTGATGGTGGTATGGAAACTGAGGCTTCCATAAATCTCCTTGACAAGTTCCCCTTTGTGACCCAGGAAAACATCTGTTTTTTGAGCACCGGCTATCCTGCTCTGCTGGCCCCATCAAATAAATCAGTCACATCCTTCTTTCAGCTTAGAAGAGTGGCTCTAGATTTATTTACATTTTCACTGCACTATATACAGGATCACACTTCTACTTCCACGAGGTTCAGAGAAAGAGAATGACCAATTGCTGCAGAGATCATAATATACTCTTTCTTATCTCTAAAACAGCCGACACAGAGATAACATGAATTCACTGACCAGAAGGTCACAGTCTAGGAATGCACTCTCCTATACCCTGACCCTTTCATTGTTGGTTTCTACACTGCATGCTTAGAATAATTTCTTTACAATCTATATCACAATAGTAACAACCTGTTATGTGTATGAACTGTGTGTGGCTGCTACACGCTCTCTATAGCCAAGCACTGAATTCTTTTGGAACAGGAACCCTTAGCTTCTTCAATAATATTGCAAATTAGAATACAGTACAACCTCCATATCTACAGAAGAGGTATAAATTTCATTTATCCTCATCCAACAAATTACCTTATATTTTCTATATGCATTTTAATGTCCTCTGTTAATTTCCAGTGTGACTCTATTGTATTCTGGAACCAGAAATCCTTCATTTTAATAGAGTTTGCTATTATCTGTAGTTTCACATATCCATGCAAATTCCTGAAACATATCCCCCACTAATACAAGGTTGAGGAGCGTTATATTGTATTACCCTCCAGTACTTAACTTCTGTTTTAATATCTCACCACCAAAGTGAGAATCACTAACTGAGTACATCCACCTTTAGGCATTCCTTCTCCCTTCCACTGTCATCTGCTAAATTCTCACCAACATTTTAAACAGTTAATGCACCTGGGTATGCTTGTCCTTTTGCAGTCTTCCACAAACGATAATGGAGGATTCTGAAAATAAGAAGATAGCACAGATCACATTTGTCTTTGAAACTGTCTGCAGTATGAATTGTGAGCTTTATTTCATGGTGGTGAGTGTTTATTTCATGGTGGTGAGTAGATAAGTTTTCTTTTGATAAGGTCTCAGCCATAGCACAAGACAGTCTACGGAAAGAATAACATTCCTTCTCTGCAATCCACGAAACACTGGCATTTTTTTTAAAAAAAATCTATAATTTCTGGAACCTTAAACTGAAAAGCTATACATTCTTTCCTTGAATTTATACAACATCTTTTTATCCTATCTACCCAGTCAGAAGCTGAGCAGAGAATCTTCTTGTTATCTCCAGTCAGAGACTGGGGGAAAAAAATCAGGCAATACATGCTCAGTGCTACTGACCCTTTGAACTGGGAAGGAAGAAGTGAGGGTACAGTTGGACAGGAATGTTCCTATAGTACTTTGCTCCTTCCTTTCTTTCCTCAGAGAAGAGGAGTACAAAGTAAAGCCAGTAGTACAATTGGGGGACCTGTGATGTCAGGGACGTAGCCAATCACTGATGTCATCTGGCCAACAAGGCTTCATATGTAGGAAGCTAGGGAAGAATTCCAAATTAGTTTGTCACTCCTGGCCAATGGAATACATTATGGATATGCATGATGTACTATCTAATGTTTCATATATGTTTATGAAACATATAAAGCAACACTGAGTCTACTAAACATGGACATAGACACATCTTTAGTATGTCTTTATTCTGTGTTGCAGTGGACGTAGAAAAATAAATTCAAAATATGGGTGCAGTTCATGAGGGAATGGGGGGGAAGTGGCAGCACTTCACTTATCCTGGGAATCCCAGATTCTTTTCTTCTTCCCGCATCTTTGTTTTGCTGTGCAAAGAAAGAAAAAACTTGCAGCGAACAGGAAGAAGAGAGGGAACAGTTCCAGGCATGCCTGCAATATCACTTACCTTGCAGATTCAGCTTGTCCTTCTCTGTGTGTGTACTTTATGATCCTGTTCCGCCCAAAACTGTCATCCCCCCAAAAACTGTCATCTTTTCCTCAAACAAAACAGATATTTGCAAAACATAAGAAGAGGAAGATCAGACAGATTTGCTGGCCAAGTGAGGTGGCACGTGGAACTAGCTCCTTCTCTTACCTACACTGCTGCAAATTTCTGTTACAGCTAGGCAAAGGAAGGAAAGTCCTCAACAAAACAAATACGTTGCACCTCCCAAATAGTCCCCTTGCTCACCTCCTGTGGACAATGTTCACATGGCAGCCCCAACCTTGGGAGGTGAGGACACCATTTCAAACTCATGAATAATCAAAACCACAAGCACAAAACCTGCAAAAGTGGAAGGATGTCTGTTAATTAAAAATCCCTCCATTGGTAATATTAATATTGTTAATAAGATTAATATGAGAATTTTAGAAATATATTGAACACACACACACACATATATATCAGAGAGTGTAGTTTGAACCTTGGACTATGATATTCTATGTTGTTCAAAAATTGAGAGGAGTGCTGGACTAGGATACTAGTAGACCACAGGCTCAAATCCCTGCTTAGTTATGAAACCCCCTAGGTTATCTTGGTGAGTCACACTCTCTCAGCCTCAGAAAAAGGCAAAAGAAATGCCTCCTGAACAAATTTAGCCAAGAAAAACCCATGATAATTTTTCCTTAGGCTTACCATAAAATGGAAATGATTTGAATAAACACAACAACAAATGTATGTAGGAATAGAATAGATTAGAATCAGCAAATCCACAAATAGATACACAAAAAAGAAAAAGAAAAAGAAATAAGAATGATGAAAATGTAACATGAATGTTTAGATTATATGTAGGTATTGAATAGTTGAATAAACAGCAGTATTTCAGTCCTTCTCCATGTTTTCTGTGGTAAAATATACCCCAGGTTTTTCAACAACACATGTAAATAGAAATGTCTCCAAGATATCATAACCACAACTTCAGCATGTTTCTTCTCTGTCTTCCTCCTTTCACTTTTCTTCCTCCTTTCACTTATCAGATTGCCATTTGGAAAATTTTATCCCATTGCTAGCATTAGTCCCCTACTTCATCCTTAGATAATGGAAATATTACTATTTTGTATTTGTAGTAAAGAGTTATTTCATTGGAAATTGGTGTCTATTCCTTTTTCATTGGTCCCCTGTCATTCCCTTCCTGGTAGGGTGTGAATTCCAGAACAAACACACCTGTGGAAACCTGGGTTGGGTCTAAGGGAAAGCAGTCCTACACCTACATCATTGAGAAAAACGCCACCATGAGTTTCACATGGGCCTTCCAAAGGACAGCATACCATGAGGCGGTAAGGATCGTGGATTTTTTGGAGATCTACTGCTCTTAATTATCCTTTTACAGAAGTTCTCACTAAGAATCGTGGAAATATTTCAGTGTCCTACAAAATAGAAGAGGTTATAATTAAAAATATGAAGCTATTTCCTGCACCACCCTGCCTTAACTTTATTAAATACTTCTGCTTCATTTATAGTACTGTCTATATTTGTTCCAGGGAAGAAAATATACGAATGATGTTGCCAAGCTATATTCTGTCAATGTGACCAATGTTATTGATGGTGTAGCTTCCTACTGCCGGCCATGTGCTCTCGAATCTTCTGGTTCATCCTGTACTTCCTGTCCCCACGGACACTACATTGACAGAGGTTCTGGTGGCTGCTATCCATGTGCATCAAATACTTATTTGAAAGCTCACCAGCCTTATGGCGATCAGGCTTGCATCCCTTGTGGCCCTGGCACAACAAGCAACAAGGTACTGTTTTCTCATCCTCTGTGTTGATTGTCAATGATTCCTAAACTATGACAGCTGCATAGATTTAAATTGGCTTAAACAGAAAAACAGTATAAGAGGCCAGTAATTAATTTAACTGACAGAAGGATATTCATGAAATTAAATTACAGCAACAGCAGGGTAATATAATTCTAATAGGAGTATGCAAAATTCATAACATTGTGATTTGACTTTTGAGATCATATTTGTTTGGTACTCTGAAGTATATTAATTGAACACAACAGAAGTATTACCCTTCTGTTGTTTTGATTCCTCCCCTCCATGGGACAATTCATCCATCTATTTAAATATATGTAATTCCTGTCACACGTGCATTAATTTGTTTATTCTTATACATTCATACATGCTCATGGCCCATAAATCTATACATACAAATATGCCTGTTGAATAGTTGATTTGCATATTTGTATAGCTTTAAACCCGAGAAACAGATCGAGATGAAAATATTTCAATCAATCAATCAATAAAATTAAACACTTTGATTGATAAATAAATAAATAAATATACACATGTGTAAAAATGGCCACAAATTGTTGCTTGTAGAGTACAGACAGATGTAACTAAAAATATCAACATTTCAAAGTCACTATTTATTTTTATTTTTTTTGAAAAGTTTAATATTTTTACCTAGAAAAATAGGGATGGGAGATAATTCCTCCTTTATGGAAATATCTTGGAATTTCACAAATACACTTCCTGCCACAGTCCCACATGCACTGATTCTCAGAAAGATGATATGTCCTGTTAAAATGGAAGAGGCCCAACAGTAGCTGAGCAATTCCTTACTTCATATATGTTTTGTGAAAGTATTCACATGGTTTCATGGATATCCTGTATCACTGACAAGAGTAATTCCTGTGGACAGAAACATATTGGATTCCTGAGTGGTATGGTTGTGGCTTGCATTAGAATAATCTCAAATCAAGATTGATTCATCTTAGAACGAAGAGGGATCATAAGTTCTGCTGGAGAAAAGGATAGTTTCAGAATGGCTCTGTGGGCCAATAAACTGACTTTATATTCTCTTTCCCCCCAGATCCATTCTCTTTGTTACAATGACTGCTACCTCTCAGTCAGCCCAGGTGGCAGGACTCTGGAGTATGAATTTTCAGCACTGGCCAACAGTACATCCTTTCTATGGGGACCCAGCTTTACCTCAAAAGGACTGAAGTATTTTCATCATTTCAACATCAGCCTCTGTGGGAACAATGTAAGTACATGTACACATATGTGGCAAGTCAGATCAAGATATCCAAGAAATGTTTCCTTCACAGAGACATATAACTTGCAAAACCGCTCTACAATATGATCAACCCCTATTGTGTGGAGAGTTTCTAAGCTCTCATGTAACGTTAGAATCAGTACTACACAGAAAACTTGCATTACAATTTTTATATATAGGTTTGCCTGTTTATACCATATGAATCCCTTCTAGCATCTGCTGATTGATCGTATTCCCTCATTAACTCTTAGGAGGGCCGAAACTGTTATCTAATAAAAATGTTCCACTGTTGAGATGCAGCTGCCTATTTGGGTGGAGAGGCTGAAATTTTGATCCCCCCCCCCCCCCACCAAAGTTTTTAAATTGCAATGAAAAAGAAAAGTGTTTCCCCTTCCCAGCTTTGTGCTGGTCAGTAACTGTAATAAAGATTTGTATTGTATTGTATTGCACTGTGAGAATTTTTTTCTCCTTCTCTTTCTCCTTTACTGAAGGGAAGGAAGACAGCTACTTGCATTGATAATGTCACTGATATACATGACCTTGGCAAGGAGACAGAATTCTCCAAAGCAACATTGTCCTATGTATGCCAGTCTGTAATTGTCCCCTCTGATGTAATGGGCTACAAAACAGTGATGTCTTCACAGCCTGTGAGCCTGGGTGACCGCTTTGTAGGTGAGAGCTACTATCATCTTGTACTTTGACCTGAGAGCTGATGCAATTTTTTGATGGAAGCTTTTGGGAATGTTACATGCAGTGATTGAAGTGACTAGACCAACCCCGCCCTTCTGTCTGCTAGATAAAAATGGCATATTGGAAACCAGTAAGATCAATATAGGTTTTCATTTGAAAAATATGATTGCTTGAATCAAGAAACTTAATGCCAGTTGGTATCTGTTTCCTTTAGTCTTTCCCACACTAAGTTCAAGCTTAACTTTGTATGCAAGAAGCTATCAGGGGTTTCTCCTACATGGCATTATTTTTAGAAACTGTATAAGAATGACACTGTTTTTCAACTGGATTCCATGTCCATTTAGGCTCAACCACAACACTTTTATTTTTGTGATTTAAAAAACTGATAACGCAATACACAACCAAATACACATTAACTGACATTTCCTAACCCAGAACTAGGAACTGTGCAGGCTACTAAGTGCTGTTGAAATGTAGCTCCTGACATCTCTTAGTATCGGCTATGTTGGCTAGGGCTGCTGAGGGTTGAACAGCTTCTGGAAGACTCCTCCCCCAACCAAAGTTATCACAAACCTCACATGATGCCATGAACCTAATTCAAATTTGCAAAAAATCAGGACCGGGGGAGGAGGGTGACAAAAAGGTCTCTTTGCTGAAAGTGGCAATGATGAGATGGTTCTCTTTTCTAAAGGGACTCTAAAGCACAGTGTATTTTGGAGTATTAGGGTTCTTGCTAATCTAGGCTGGAATTACATCCTCCCCTATGCAGTGTCTCCTTTTGACTGGTTTGCTCCTAATTTGCAGGAGTAACAACACAGCCTACTCTAGACAACATAACCTCTCCTGCTGATTATTTCCTTCCTGAGAATGAGGGCTTACCAGATGTGATATTCTTTTACAGGTAAGCTAAAGAGTGGCAAACAAAGATAAAAAGTAGGTATTGTCCATTTTTAGAAATGAAACGCATTTTGTCTTGAATGTTCTTACAATATTCCAGCATCACAGGGAATTTCATTTTCTAAATCTGAAAATAGCTGTAAGAAGTAACTAGAGAACAAGGCAGAGAATTACTGTAAGATTTTTTCTTTAGTGCCGGAGGATGATGCTTCCCACCCTCCTGTAATCCATGTAATGAGTTCAGACTTCTGTCTAACTGTACACATGAGTCTAATTTCTATCCAAGGTGTGGGATTGCCACTTCCAGCAGGCGTATCATAAGCTAATATATTTGGTTAACTTGCAGATCCAGTGATGTGACCCAGACATGTAATGAGGGGAGAGCCACTGCCATCAGAATGAGATGTAATCCCCTAAAGCGACAGACTGGAACCCTTTCTGTGCCAAAGTAAGTTTTCTGGCTAGTATTTATCTTGCTAGAAGCTGTGTCCCATTGACAGTCTGCCCTAACCTCTACAATGGGGCACTCCAGAAATTGGCGTGGAGAGGGAGTAATTAAGTGATGTCAACAATTAGAAGTCTACTCTCACTGTTAGTTCAGAGATACAATATGCAGAAGGCAAGATAACATTTTTTTTCATATATTTTTGGAATTATAGTTATACCTCTGAAGTGGAGTTGGCATGCCTTTTCACCTGTGGAGAAGAGCCAGTTTCTGTGTACTTCACACTTCAGATGTTTATGATTGTCTCTAATCTTATTGCATCTTTTTACATATAGCCCATGAAAACCCATGAAATGTAGTGATTTGAGTGTTTGACTATGTTTGAATCATGGAATCTCACTGGAAGTCCTTAGGCATGTCACACATTTCTAGCCTCAGAGGAGGCAATTGAAAGCCCTCTGAAAAAAGTGTATAAATGAATGTATTCCTGTTTGGAATCTCATGTCTGACCATCTTGATAATTTTGTTTTAAATGAATATTAAATATGTTCATGATCCCATTGTTCCCCTAGTAAAAGCATATTAAAAATATACTTGCATCTCTGTTTCATAAAGATTTTTGCAAATACTAACCACATAAGTCTCAAATCAAGATCACAAATCCTGTACTTGAGAAGATAAGGTTAAGTTTTGCCCTTTTGCATCATTTTCTCCCATTATATTTTTTTCTGTTACCCCACTGCTATTTATTCCAAGCGAAAAAACATACAAGGGCACATAATTTACTCTAGAGTCCACATCAAGCCAGATATTTCTTTGGGTGGGGATGTCAGAGCCATCTTAACAGCATTATAGGTCCTCAGGTAAAGCAGTGCAGTGGGCCCTGCCTTCACAGCCACTCACAGGAATAAACATGCATATTATTGATAAAATAAGCTTATATTTATTATTACTACATAATAAGTCTACAGTTTCTTTTTCCTCACATGTTTACACTCCTCTGGAACACAAATAGCGGAGGTTCTGCTTCCAATAATGGAAGCAACTGTTGTCTTCAGCCGTTAATTGCCTTCCGTGAATCTATTACAATATTTTTCTTTGATAACACTGCAAGCAATAAAAATAGTAATATTTATCTCATAAATGCAGACATGCTAACTCTCAGCTATAAGCCACCATTTTTTCTTCCTCTACAGAATAAGCGGGAGAGTTGAATGTTTGAGGGAGGTGATAGGAAAATTAGTGTTGCATTCTGGTCTGTGCATAGATTATCATGGGGCCCCTATGCTTATGCCCCCATTGTTTTTTCTCTTTGTGTGAGCATGATGATGGTCTTTGTTATCTTTTGCTTCCTATTTGCTTTAAGGTTACTATTCTGTGCACCCTGTACCTGTACCTTTTTGTCATGGGTTTGAGTTTGTACAATAAATTATTTGATTGAAGCTAATGCCCCCACCACCCCAGGCAATTGCCCAGAGTTCTCATTGCATTAAGATGGCACTTGGAGATGCAAAATATTGTAAAAGGAATTGTTCCATTCTTGTTTCCTATTGCTCTAATCTGGTTAAGGAAATTGAGCTCCTATGTAAGGTACCTCAACTGCTTAAAGGTATCTCTGTTGTGTCTAGTTTGATGCAATCATCATTGCTAGAACTCATGTTAGTTCTCATGCTTAGAAATATAACTTAGCAAAAAAAAAATTTCAACACAAGCATTGTTCTATAAGTAGGATCTGACCAAAGCAGAAAAGATGAGTACCATACTTCCTTTGATCTCGACACTATACTCCTTTTGATGCAGCCCAAAATCCCACTGGCTTTTTAGCTGCTGCATCACACTGTTGGTTCATGTTCAACTTGTTGTTCATGAAGACTCCAAGATATTTTTCACATGGACTGTTGTCAAGCTAGGTGTCAGCTATCATGTATCTATTCATTTTTTCTGCTTAAGTGAAGTATTCTGTACTTCATTATTATCCTTTTATTTGATTCTGATGATGGAGTCTAGCAGAGTTCATATTTTGTGTACTTGGTGAATATGCTCCCTTAACCCTTAGAGAACAGAAAAAATAAATGTTATTTGTGGGAGTTAATTTGGCTGGGTGGCCCTCCAAGATCTCCTGAGGGTTACTGCAGCTCCCTATCATTCCACAGCTGCCCATCCCTAGTCTGTGGAATTGTTGGTAAAGGATTTTTGGTAGTAGCTTGAGGAGGGTCCAATGCCTAATTCTTAGATTTTGAGACTGATTACTCTGGAGAAGTGAATTAAAATGATTTAATTCCATTCAAAATTACTTCTTGTAATTTGCAAATAGCAAATGCCCTGATGGAACCTGTGATGGATGCACTTTTCATTTCCTGTGGGAGACTGTTGAAGCTTGCCCCCTCTGTTCTACAGATGATTATCATGCCATCACCAGTGCTTGTGTTGGAGGAATACAGGTAAAGATTTGGAGTTCCTTTTTTGAGTTTTCATTGTTTCCAAGGCTTGCAGATTGCATGTTTGTACATAGAATTACATGAATTTTAAAATGAGCTTTTCCAAGCTACCACATCCCAACTGTCAGTCCATAGAATCATAGAATAATAGAGTTGGAAGAGACCACATGGGCCATCTAGTCCAACCCACTACCATGCAGGAAAAGCACAATCAAAGTTAATTAATATGTATGTAAGAAAAGATACATGAGTCAAGTAGAAAGAAACAATGACTTGCTGATACCATTCCATGTAGCAGAGAGGGTCGTAAATGAAGTTCAACATATAAATCCCCTCTGCCATGCCACAAACAACGACTGTCAACCTCATAAGATGGGCTTCGTTTTGGTGGCATGCACTGGATCTTCTATAGCTTTGACAGAGCCTGCCAGCTCCCATCAGATGACATTGAACTACTTCCAGCAGGGCTCTGTAAGCTATAAAATGACAGAAGATTTGGTGCATGTTACCACACCGTGTTGCCGTTGAGACAATGAGGGGAAGCCGGGCAGCTGACACTTCCCCCTGTATAATGTGACGACCATTGAGTCGGGCGATACAGGGCGTGGGATGGTGAGTGTTGTTCCCGTCCCCCTTCCAGATACAACCAGATTTGCTACAATGCTTGCTGATTCCTGCGACCCATGGGATGAGATACATAGAGTGATTTCACAATAAAATCCTGGTCTAGGAGCACCCATAGTCAGATTTTAAACAATTTTACATTACTCCTACTGACTTCAGATGCGCATGTGTAGTACACAGAGCTTGTAAATGATGAAATACTTTGGCAGCATCTTGCAACAGCTCACTTACGATCTTTGCTAAGATAGATTTATCTCTTTTAAGATTCCTGTAGCAACTGCTACTGCTGCTTGTATGTAACAAAGAATTACTATTGTCTGTCTATACGAGCTAGGGATATATATTTCCTGAAAAGAAGCACACTTGCTTTTTCTTCTACAGAGAACGACATATGTCTGGCGGGAGCCAAAGCTCTGTGCAAGAGGCATTCCGCTCCCAGAGCAAAAAGTCAGCATCTGTAAAACCATGGACTTCTGGCTCAAAGTGGGAATCTCAGCTGGGACTTGTGCTGCTGTTCTTCTGACAGCTATGACATGCTACTTCTGGAAGAAAAATCAAAAGTAAGCTAGCCCCTGTTCTTGGCAGGTCCCAACATCTGCTTCTTAGTCGTAGCTACATAGATAGCACCATTACATCTGGCCCGGCCATAGGCTTCTAAATCCTTGTGTGTTACTGTCTTATGTGTGAGTTATATTAATTGTATTGTTTATTTTGCTTATTACCTGTTGTTTTATTGATGTGTTGTTGTTGGCCTTGGCCTCATGTAAGCCGCTCCGAGTCCCTTGGGGAGATGGTGGCGGGGTATAAATAAAGTTGTATTATTATTATTATTATTATTATTGCACTGTACAGTGCCCTCTTCTAGTTTACTTTTTATGTCAGATGATAAACTTGAACAATGTAACAGTCAGACAAAAGTAGAAGCTGGATTTATTTTTCAAATAACATTGCCTATTGAATCATATGTGCTTATCTTTATATATTGTTATACTTCAGCCAAGCCTGGTTTTTGTTGATTTCATTATTTGCAGATTGGGTTAAAATGTTCTCTTGAGGAATCTCTATGTTCTCCAGTGCACAACTCTGTGCTCAACTTCCACCAGTGACCATAGAGTCCTGCTGGGGGACCTAGAAATTCTTAAAAAGATGTTCCTTCAAGTAAAGGAAATAGAATCTTTAATTATTGAGTTTTCACTTTTGTGGGTGTCCTGTGCCCTTAACTCCAGCAATTGTGGAGGGTTGGTTGTATATTATCAATTCACACATTCATTAGTTTATAGAGGAGGTACCAGAATAAGGAATTTTTGTGATTAGAAGAAGTGGAGGCTGAAAGGAGGAGTAGCCAAAAAGTCACACGGTGGTTAGAGAATGAAAGGATGGTGTCAAAAAGAGGTCTGCAAACTGTTTTTCTCCTTCAAGTTTATTTTCTGTCTCTTTCAAGACTGGAATATAAATATTCAAAGCTGGTGATGAATGCCAGTGCCAAGGATAGTGAGCTGCCTGCTGCTGACAGTTGTGCCATCATGGAGGGGGAAGATGTAGAGGATGACCTGATTTTCACAAGCAAGAATTCCCTTTTTGGCAAAATAAAGGCATTCACTACCAAGGTGAGGTACTTGTGGATCCACAATGGGAAAAATGAAGCAATTGAGGCCTTGGGCTTGATTCCACTGTTTATTTAACCTGACAGATATTTTGCATGTCCAGTTTATTTTTCTAGGTCATATTTAAATAGACATTGTCCCAATACACCTAATATGCAAGATATCCCTGAAGCATGCATGTATTTTCTTCTTGAAATCAATATCCCTTTCATTTTTGACTTGGGCGATTTGTAATTAATATTCTTAATGAATGTAAACTGAACACGACATAAGGCAGAAGGTTACGAAGACTGATGTAAGCCTCATTCTCCATTGTTGTCTTAAAACTCTTGACAGAGAAGGATAGTAAAAAAGAAAAATGTGCCTCTTTCCGAAAATTATACCAGATGCAGTTAGCTTTCCTGGTTGTAGAAAGGCATCACAAGTGTTTATAGGAACCTTTCTGCAGGATAGACCTATGACCATGAAACTCTCTACATATGTTATTGTATTTCCTACTACATTGATTAATGTTCCAGGGAATGGTGCCCTGCTTTGTTTTTACTTTGTAATGTGGCTATTTGTTTTCCTGTAGGCTTCTCAGTCAGGGTTGGCAGAACTCTGTGTGTAGGGTTGTTCTCAGTCTTCCAGGTAGATAGAGATCCACCTGTTTTGTGTCTCTGTGTCTAAAAACATGCCAGCTAACTGAGGGCATGCAACAATCCACATGAGATGACCATGTGGTGGAACTGGTGCATAGAGAAGGACCTGCATTCTGAGAAACTCTTAACACAGCTGCCACCTTTCTAGAGCTGTAGCCTCCTTTTTTTTGAGGAAGAAGACATGAGAGTGAAGTATGCACTAGACAGACTAATGGGTATTAATTCAAGATACAAGTACAACATTATAAACTCATCAAGGCTGGAACATGTCTTGTCTCTTAAATGCATGGCTTCTCATTGTATAGTTGAGAGTAAATGCATGATGGGCTGACTGCCTCTTGCTCAGCTTCACCTTTTAGGAATCAGAGCCAGAATTGCCAATTGTGTTTCTGAGAGGATAGTGAGAACAATAGCAAGATCACACATTTACATGGGATAAATTGCAGGCATTTAGTAAGTGCATGAAGAATGTGAGTGGCTTTCTCCCCTCCCCTTACACAAAATGCTATTTAAATCAACCTTGGGTCTTCAGTTTAGATCACAACAGGCAAAGTACAGCCCTCCAAAGGTTCTTGGCAGCATCTCCTAGCATTTCTCATAATCTGCTATGCTCACTAGGACAGATGGGAGTTGTAGTTCCACATCTGGAGAGATGGTCTAGATGTTGGACATTTTCATCTTGTTATAGATCTGTTTTCCTCCATACTGCCACTTCTCTAAGAGTACAAATAATAAAAGTTTCTTATCCCAAACATCTAACAACTTGAAAGCAATTACTGTGGTCACTTCTGCAGAGGGAGGCTTAAGAGAATTGTTTACTGAAAGTCACTAGTAACATGGTTAAAGAAGTGGGATATGAAATGGGAAAGCATATCTGATCTGAGAAAAATGCAACATTTCTTTCGTAGCCTTAACCAGACTTCATTTTATGTTCCCTTTAGAGAACATCTGATGGCTTTGACTCTGTGCCATTGAAGACTTCCTCTGGTACCATTGACATGGATCTTTAGGAGTGGATTGCCTACCTCTCATGCCTTTGCTGCAGGATGCTTTGGGACTTCTCCTTGGCTAATACCTGCACTTCTATGAACTTGCCATGTGGCCTTATCAATATTCCTTAACTTCAGCTTCTTATTGTACTTTTTTAAGCCGAAATTTTTAACATTCTCCCAAAAGCAAAACTGTGCCAAATACAAGTGTGCTTTTAAAACTAAATGTAGATATATATTTGTATGTCTCTTGCACGCCATGTCCCCTTTTCTGTGTTGTGGCCAAAATTTAAGTTTTCCCCTTAACAGATTTATTCAGTGTGACAGTTTGCATTTTAACTTTTCCCTCCAGCTACAGCTGAACTACCCTAAAATATCACTGTGGCATGCTCCTAAGGCTGCAGTCCTTACCTAGGAATACTCCCATTGAACTTGGATTTACTTCTAAGCAGATATACAAAGGCTTCTGCTGTAATTCTTCCTTCCAGACAATCCTTCTTGTGGGTGACGATACCATCTTATCTTGCAAAATGCTTTCCAAATGTGCTACTGCATTAATAGTTTTGAATGGATGATGTTAAGCCCCGTCTTCCTCATTAAGGGCTTTTTGGCAGTGAAATTGTATTTGGGTCCCAAATTACCAACTTCTTCACTGCACTCAGATTATCTTTTCAGGCTGATAGGGGGTGGGGGTTTTTGTAGTACAGAAAATCCCAGAGCATGCTGTAGGTGTTTCTCATTTACAGCCAGCCTTTTTCTAATTTGCTAGTAATGCCACCTAAACCTCTTTAAATACCACTTTGGCAAAAGATCTGCTGCACACTGATCATTATGTAGATTAACATATCTGGGAAGGAGTATTTTTAAGCATTGCAGAATATTAGAGCATATAAATAATTGCTGGATTTTATTCAACTTTTGTAGAAAGGTAGTCACTTTTAAGAAAATCCATACAAGCATATGCCCTATTACCATCTAAGAGGGAATTGCCAGTCTAATTGGCATTGTGACAGCCTATCAGGACTTCCAAGAAATCTTACTAGATTTTCAGCAGAGGAGTGTGTCCTTAAGCTATGAATGTAGGTATTCAGGTAATGACTGCAGTGGTCAACTATGCCCCCTATGTAGCAGGCAGAATTAGAATCATTCATTTCTCTATAAACAGGTATGTGGTGGGGGAGGAGATCTCACCCTTGAATTACAGACTTCAGTTCAGAGGGAAATTTGGATGTCTTTCACTTTCACTGGGGAAATGGATGACATGCTTAACATTTTATGCAATCAAGGCATAACCTCTGATCTTTTGATTTTATGTAAGTTCCCTTCAGTTTTCTTAAAATTAGATTTTATTTTTAACACTTTTAAATAACTAAGCAAAGCAATCCTAGTGACCAGAGAGGAGCTTGTGGAAGAGCTGCAACATTTTTTGCCAGTTTTGATACATATCAATGTGTAGATGCCTATGAAATGTTTCTGTATAATTATTTGAATTGCTTGAATTGTAGCAGTGGTGAATGTGGTACAAGGTAACTTTCCCAATCCATCAATTCCTTTATGGATATTATGGCTTCTGATCTGGAAAGGTTTATTCATTTTCATTGGAGACTGGCAATTATAACTCAAAGAAATGGCTTCTTTCTCTGTACATTGACTACATTTAAAACTAAAACTTGGGGGAATTAGTTTTTTTGGACTAAAACTCTGAGAATCCCCCAAGATCACGGCACAATGGGTTGTAGTGTTGTTGTTTTTTAAAGGAAGTTTTCAGCTCTTTTAAAAACTGGTGCTCCTGGGTTAAGTCAACATTTACTGGTAATGCCAAGCCAGTGTTGACAGATTACAGTACTTCTGTTTACCCTGTTAGGTTAGAATAGTCCTTAATATTAAAGCAGTTAATAAAAAAAATGAATAGAAGCCCATGCCCTCATTTCATAATATAATCATGTAAATGTCAAATTAATTTCAATAGGTCACATAAAGTTCAACAAGCCTTATTTACAGGTAAGCAGGTAAAGAACTGCAGCCTCAGTCATTCAAGTTTCTTTTCAATGACAGTACTTTTAATTTTACTGTAGATACCCCTAGATTTCTACACCTCTGCTTTGCTTTGCTTGTACTGTGTACTTTCCATGCCTACAAATGTTTCAAGGTCCTTTTAGATGTGTACTCACAATCACAAACACAAATGTGGTCATTTTTACAGTACAATTTCATGTTCTGTTTTAAAAAGGATAAATGCCCATAATTTATTTTGGAAGTAAACTCTTCTGCCCCAAGCAGCTAACAGGAACTGGTTCTGATACAAACAAGGCCAAATTGATTTGGATTGATTTTTGTTTTCTGGGATAAATAATTATCAGCTGCTGTTACCTCAGTTTCTCAATCGCTCCTGACACACACACACAAAAGACAACAAACCTCAATATAAATAATTCATATTGGTTTAAAGACTTGAGAAATCTTTTAAAATATCATTTAAAGTAATATCAAACTATACTGGAACTGGAAAATAAGTGACTGGTGTGGAATCATTGAACGTTTGGATGTTGATGAAGTACAGTGTCCCTCATCTTTGGCCAGATTAAGGAGGGCTGATGGGAAATACCTGGAGAGCCAACTCCCAGTTCTGATTTAAGTCCAAGTGTCCACTGCTAGATTGTGATTGGTCATATTGGAATTATTAAGGAATAGGAAACAGATGCCTTAATTGCATGCCCTGTGTGAACGAATAAAAAGATTCCAAACAGACAGGTCTCTGATTAACTAATAAGCATTATCTTGTATGCTGGCCTGCACAACTTATAATGCACAAAGTTGAATGCAGTGATGTATTATGGCATGTCAGATACTTCATAATGTGTTTTTCACAGTCCCAGGGAAGCCAGAGATAACAGGGAGTCTATAAAGCATTTGGAGCTGCACACTTAGTAGGTCTGCTGCATTTCATCTGATAAGGTAGAATTTATACAAACCAAAGGAATATAGTTTAAGCATAAAGCCATTTAAAGCAAATACAGCCAAAATGGAGCATTTCAGAAGTACCACAAATCTGTTTTACAACTCAGTTTATTCTTTTTAATATTCTTCCTATAATCAGATTCCAGTCCATTTCTAAGAGGATACAAATATCTGTTCCTGCATCAGTGAACCTCACCAGTGGTTACTAAACAAACTCAGCACCTTCTCTCTTTGAAAACACTATTAAATTTTAGGACAATAAAATGTATACTGTTCCTGATTCAGAGGTGATTAAACCAGCAAAAAAACACAAACAACAAAACAACAACAAAAACCCTAGTACCTTTTCTAAGTATTGCAACCCTAAATGCACATGAAGACTTGGCTTAACATGGAAAAGGTTTGGTAGAGCCTCAAATAAGAAAAAAATGGCAATGGTGAGTCAGGTGGTACAGGAAAATGCTACATTTCTCAGAGCATTTCGGAAGATTTAACTGCTACAAAAACTTAGCATTAGGCTATGCCAGTATTTTAGAAAGGAGGGGCAATTAATGCATTTGAATTCTGCTGTCAAGTTAGTTAGATAATCTAAACTGTTCAAACTGAGTGAGAGAAAAAAGTATCTTCATTCTCAGTAGTAGGTGTGGCAAAGAGATATCTTTGATCAGCTTCAAGACCATCAGCACATGTTACCAGGATGAGTCCACTGCATATTAAAATATTGGCATAGTATATGTATGTCTACTATTTGTTTAGCAGTCTAACTAGAAGAGCACAAGATAGAGGGACAAATATGCAACCTAACACAGGTTGTAAAGCAGAACTTAAAAGACATATAATACTTACTGAAATAATTGAAAAGGGGATAGTATTTTATATTTGATTTGGGAAGTTGTAAAATGTCAAGTGAAAGTGGCAAATTATTAATTTAATTGGAGGCTTAGCATACTTGTAACTTTGCTTTGGTTTTCTAACTGCAATATAACATAGAAAACATAATATATTCTGCAGAGTGTTCGGTGGGAGCAGGGACAAAGACAAAAATCAAAACATAAGATCAATAAGAGGCAATTGGTATAATCTTTGCCAAATTGTTTAAATTGTGATACAACAGTAAGCTGAAGGAACTACCCGCAGGAATATGGACTTTTAGGAGGAGCAGCAGCAGCCACTCTGAAGATTCAGAGCAATTCCCATTGAAGATCTTAGTAACCACTTTCAGAAGTAATACCCAAATGCCTATTACAGATAGAAAATACAGATGAAAAAATCATTTTGGAGGGCAGGAAGCTGGAAATGAACCTAAAATAACTGGGAGGCTGAGATGAGAAAAGAAATTACTTGTCATGGGCATTGCATTCCTTAGCCAAATAACCAGTGGAAGTTTAGATTATTTTTAAGATTTCAAATGTCTTACCAGACATAAATATCTAGACCTTCTAATGTGTGCCATGTATATGATGTGGTCCTCCTCTGATTTATTTGATGCAATCCTGTCATATAGACTGATCAGTAAGATCAGAAAAATATTTTTGCCTATTTAATAGTATCACCGCTTCTGTTTTTTGTATGAAGTTGTGATTTATTATTCTGGCTTTTTGTTTCTGCTATATTTTGTACATGCTTGAAAATGGTTTTTGGATCAAACTGTAACCTTTACAAACTGTGACCTTTGTAACATAAGATCAACATGCCAGATATTTTAGTGTCCTAGAATTAATCGGCCAGGACTTTTGGGTATGTGGACAAGTTATACAAGTGTTATTCAGGGACTACAATACCTTTCTTACACAGATGACAATGAATTTTTGCAACTCCGTATGTTACAGAATTGACTGGATTATATTTATAAAACTGTGTTTTTTCAGCTTTGTGATGATAAAACTGCAAGTTATCTTGCTCTGTGTGCAAGATTTCTTTTATATATGATCTTAACAGAATTTTATAGTTTCTGGAGGCAAGAGTTGCATGTACATTTTTGGTTTTAAAACTATGTACTTTCTGACTATTTTAATGTGAGCAACCTCTGTTTTGGGAGAGGAATGAGGTAAGAGAGAAAGTAAAGATGCCGTTCTTCTGAGCCCTACACTCTTTTTCTTGTAATTATTTATTAGTTTTAATACAGACAATCTAGTCAACATTCAGAAGAGAAAAAAAGGGGGAGGAAGAAAAAGAAAGAAAAAAGGTAAGAATATATAATTCAAATGCACACTATAGCTACATACAGGAGCCCCCATTGTCGCAGCAGGTTAAAGCACTGAGCTGCTGAACTTGCAGACCGAAAGATTGCAGGTTCGAATCCGGAGAGTGGAATGAGCTCCCACTGTTAGCCCTGGCCACATGACCTTGGAGGCATCTACGGACAATGCTGGCTTTTCGGTTTAGAAATGAGCACCACCCCCCAGGGTCAGACATGACTAGACTTCATGTTAAGGGGAAACTTTTACTTTTAGGATATAGCTATAACTCAACTAAGCTAAAGCTCAAACACTAAAGCAAAGATACTAAACTGAGGCTTTAAACCTATACACACTAATACATTAAGCATTGACTAGATAGGACCCATGCCTCCATCCAACTGTAATGAGAGATACTTTTCTGTTATTACAGATCTAGCAATGTTAAACTTACTAAGGTTATCAGAGGTATTAGTTGCCACAACCACAGATTATTACATTTTTAGATTTCTCATTTCTCGGAAAACCATATACTGTTTCCGTTCTTATTTATTTCTTCTTCATTATTATCCATTCTTCTTCTTATTTATTTATTAGGTCCTTGTGGGTTTTTTCGGGCTATAGAGCCATGTTCTAGAGGCATTTCTCCTGACGTTTCGCCTGCATCTATGGCAAGCATCCTCAGAGGTAGTGAGGTCTGTTGGAATTAGGACAATGGGTTTATATATCTGTGGAATGGCTGGGGTGGGGCAAGGAGCTCTTCTCTGCTGAGCTAGGTGTGAATGTTTCAACTGATCACCTTCATTAGCATTTGAAGGCCTGCCTGAGCCTGGGAAAATCTGTTGCTGGGAGGTGTTAATCTGTGCCTGGTTTTTTCCTCTCTGTTGTTTAGCTGTTATAATTTTAGAGTTTTTTTTAATACTGGTAGCCAGATTTTGTTCATTTTCATGGTCTCTTCCTTTCTGTTGAAATTGTCCACATGCTTGTGGATTTCAATGGCTTCTCTGTGTAGTCTGACATGGTGGTTGTTGGAGTGGTCCAGCATTTCTGTGTTCTCAAATAATATGCTGTGTCCAGGCTGGTTCATCCGGTGCTCTGCTATGGCTGACTTCTCTGGTTGAAGTAGTCTGCAGTGCCTTTCATGTTCCTTGATTCGTGTTTGGGCGCTGCGTTTGGTGGTCCCTATGTAGACTTGTCCACAGCTGCATGGTATACGGTAGACTCCTGCAGAGGTGAGAGGATCCCTCTTGTCCTTTGCTGAACGTAGCATTTGTTGGATTTTCTTGGTGGGTTTGTAGATTGTTTGTATGTTGTGTTTCCTCATCAGCTTCCCTATGCGATCAGTGGTTCCCTTGATGTATGGCAGGAACACTTTTCCTCTGGGTGGATCTTCATCTTTACTCTCGTGGTTTGTTCTTGGCCTTGCAGCTCTTCTGATGTCTGAGGTGGAGTATCCATTGGCCTGGAGAGCCCAGTTGAGGTGGTTCAGTTCATCTTGGAGGAGGTGGGGTTCGCAGATTCTTTTTGCACGGTCTGCCAAGGCTTTAATGGTGCTTCTTTTTTTACTTGGGTGATGGTTGGAGTTTTTATGTAGATATCTATCTGTGTGTGTGGGTTTTCTGTAAATGTGACCCAATTGTTGATCTGGTTTGCGGATGACTAGGACATCTAGAAAAGGCAGTCTTCCTTCATTTTCTTTTTCCATAGTGAACTGGATGTTTGGGTGGATGCTGTTAAGATGGTCCAGGAACCTGTTGAGTTCTTCTTCTCCATGGCTCCAAATGGTGAAGGTGTCATCCACATATCTGAACCATATCGTGGGCTTTTTGGTTGCTGTCTCCAGGGCTTGTTCTTCAAAGTGTTCCATGTAGAAGTTAGCTATGACCGGGCTGAGAGGGCTCCCCATAGCTACTCCATCTTTCTGTTCATAGAATTCATTGTCCCACTGAAAGTAACTTCTATGAATTCTATGAACAGAATTTATTTATTTATTTACAGTATTTATATTCTGCCCTTTTCACTCTGAAGGGGACTCAGAGCAGATCACAGAACGTACGCATTAGGCAACCATTTAATGCCGTTTTATACACAAACAAAGCTTTTCCCATCTTTGGCATCTTGGAGGGTTTGTGCTCAGTTCCAGTCAGCAGAGGTAGGGGTTTGTGCTGTCTCTCCATCTCCCTGACAAAGAGCTTTCTTTGTAACTTCCTTCTTTTGATTGAATCACTGGCATTCCTTATGGGTGCCTCAGAATGCCTCCCTGCTTTTAAGTGGTACCTATTTATCTACTTACATTTGCTTTTCAACCGCTAGGTAGGCAGAAGCTGGGCTAAATGCCAGGAACTCACCCTGACCCAGGCTTCAAACTGGCAGCCTTTTGACTGAGATTTACTGTAGCTGGTGGTTTAACCTGCTGTGCTAAAGCCTGCTGTGCTAAAGCCTAACTCTTCTTGTGAAAAGCCTTTAATTTGTTTATCTTTTATGATTCACATTAATTTGGACACCAATTAGTAACCAGAACAATTCATTGTTTTACTGTTGGTGCTTTAGATTGTTTCCAAATTTGAGCAAACAATATTCTTGTTGCTGATCCCAGGACTATTGAAATGTTTAAACTAACATTTAAGCCGTGGAGTCTGGATAAAACCACAAACGTAGATCAAACAATGGAAAAATAAAAAGGGAGCTGTTTTACAGCAAGACATACTACTGGGTATCAGCCCTTTGGAATCTCGGTGTTTCCCAAGAACTACTGACACAAGAGTGTAATGGAAGAGACTTCAGTTAAAGCCGGGATCTTAAACCTGCAAAGTAATTTAAAGCTCGGTTCTTTGGGGCCTCATCACACTAGAGAATGAATCCACTTAAAATCCGGTTGCTGCCTCCTGCAGAACTCTGGGGTTTGTAGTTTAGGGAGGAGCCTTTAACAGCTTCGCTAAACTACAAACCCCAGAATTCTGCAGGAGGCAGAAACCGGATTTTCTCTCTCTAGCGTGATATATTTGCAAAGCACGATTGCCCCAAAGTGGCATAATACTGCCAGTCTGTAAACTCCTCCTCAGTCAGTCACATAACGAAAAATTAAGTTAAATTCTTTATTGGACCAAATAGTTTCTTAAAAGATCTGCACATTCTGAAAAACCATGCGTTCTTGGAATCTTGGGATATGTAGTTTTATAAAGTCTTCAGTCTTCTCTGCAAAGTGTGCTGGTGCCCCACCAAACTACAACTCCCAGGATTCCATAGCATTGAGCCATGGCAGTTAAAGTGTTGACAAACTTTATTAAATTTCAGGTGCACCTTGTGTTTATTTGAACCCTGCCATTCTCTTGGCAGGCAGAAGATCCTGGTTAATTATTTTAATCAATTTGTTCTACTTGGCTCAAACCAAATGTTACCCAATTTGTGAGAGACTTAACAGCAGAGCCCCAAGCGGAATTGCGCCTATAACTTTGGCAATGGTCATGGCTCCTGATTTTACCCTTCCTTGACAGTGTTCCTTCACTACTTTGCGGTTCACTTTTCGCGGACTCGCTGTTTTGTGGGTTTTTGCTTCCCAGTTTATGAATGGCTGCTGTTGCACAGAGCGATGGTCTAATCCCGCCTCCTGGCAACAATGGATTGTGGAAGCGGGGTTTCACCCTCCCCCTTGGGAGAGAGGCAGCCAATCAAGAGAGAGAGAGATACAAAGTTGTATGTAAATCATGGCCTTATAGTCCCTTCCTAGCCAAAAAAAGGGGTGTGCGGTGCCTTTAAATCTCTCCTCGCTTCTACCTCACCCTCGGAACGCGATGTACATATACATAGCGTCCCTACTTTGCGGATTTTCACTTTTTGCGGCTGGTCCATGAACACAACACCTGCAATAAGAGGGAACACTGTACTACACTCCTTGCGCTTCATAGAATCAGAGTTGGAAGTCCAACCCTCTGTCAAGAAGCAGGAAAATTGCATTCAAAGCACACCCGACAGATGGCCATCCAGCTTCTGTTTAAAAGCCCCCAAAGAAGGAACCTTCACTACACTCTGGGGCAGAGAGTTCCACTGCTGAATAGTTCTCAGAGTCAGGAAGTTCTTCCTCGTGTTCAGATGGAATCTCCTTTCTTGTAGTTTGAAGCAATTGCTCCATGTCCTAGTCTCCAAGGCAGCAGAAAACAAGCTTGCTCCCTCATCCCTATGACTTCCCCTCACATGTTTATGCATGGCCCTCATCATGTCTCCTCTCAGCCTTCTCCTCTTTAGGCTAAACATGCCCAGCTCTTTAAGCCACTCCTCATAGGGCTTGTTCTCCAGACCCTTGATCATTTTAGTCGCCCTCCTCTGGACACATTCCAGTTTGTCAATATCTCTCTTCAACTGTGGTACCCAGAATTAGACACAGTATTCCAGGTGTGGTCTAACCAAGGCAGAATAGAAGGGTAGCATGAATATTGTGTCCAATTCTGGGCACCACAATTCAAGAGAGATATTGACAAGCTGGAATGTGTCCAGAGGAGGGCGACTAAAATGATCAAGGGTCTGGAGAACAAGCCCTATGAGGAGCGGCTTAAGGAGCTGGGCATGTTTAGCCTGAAGAAGAGAAGGCTGAGAGGAGATATGATAGCCATGTATAAATATGTGAGAGGAAGCCACAGAGAGGAGAGAGCAAGCTTGTTTTCTGCTTCCCTGGAGACTAGGACGAAACAATGGCTTCAAACTACAAGAGAGGAGATTCCATCTGAACATGAGGAAGAACTTCCTGACTGTGAGAGCCGTTCAGCAGTGGAACTCTCTGCCCCGGAGTGTGGTGGAGGCTCCTTCTTTGGAAGCTTTTAAACAGAGGCTGGATGGCCATCTGTCAGGGGTGATTTGAATGCAATATTCCTGCTTCTTGGCATGGGGTTGGACTGGATGGCCCATGAGGTCTCTT